AAAGGAGTGTAGCAGGCAGTATGTGCAGGAGAGAAGTGTGGAAGGCAGAATGTGCAGGAAAGGAGTGTAGTAGGCAGTATGTGCAGGAGATGAGTATGGAGGCTATGACAGCAGATAGTATATGCAGGAGTGGAGTGTGCATGGTATGACAGTAGCTAGTATGCACAGAAAAGGAGTACATGAGAGGAGCATGGAAGGTATGACCATGAACAGTGTATGAATAAAAGGGGTGTGGAGGGTATGATGGTAGGCAGCACTGTATGTGTGTGTGGTGGGGGGATGAAAAAAGGCAGTATGTGCAGGACAGGGTGAAGAGCGTATAGTGCTGTTAACAATTACCCTTCAATTTTAGTCTGCAGCCAGTCTTAATTTTAATTTATTTTGCTTGCTACCATAGCAAGGAAAATATTCAGCTTGCTGACATGTTTTCCCAGAATCTCATCTCTCTGCTCCTATAATTCACTTACTGCCTCTCCTAGATGTCTGCACATGTCTCAAGACTAAATCACAGACAGCCCACTGCATAGTTTATCACATCCCTGTAAGTTCCTTAAAGTTTACTACATTGAAAATTTCATCATTGATGAGAAAATGACACAGAAAGCTGCATATCTAATAAGGGCTGCAGGGCTTATTATTTTGATCTTACTAAGTATAATAAAAAATAACGGCAAAACATCCTACAGATCACTCGTTTTAACCTTTTTCTTCCGGAGTATTTTTTCTTTCATTTTTGATACACAATTTAAAATGTACCTGAGAACTACCGTATTTTTCGCCATATAAGACGCACCTGACCATAAGACACACCTAGGTTTTAGAGGCAGAAAACAGGAAAAAAAAAATTCTGAACTAATGGACTGCAGACACAGTACAGAAGATGACCAGAGACTGCGGACAGCACAGGGATGACCAGAGACTGCGGACAGCACAGGGATGACCAGAGACTGCGGACAGCACAGGGATGACCAGAGACTGCGGACAGCACAGGGATGACCAGAGACTGCGGACAGCACAGGGATGACCAGAGACTGCGGACAGTACAGATGACTGCTGACCTTTGGGGAGGTGGGGAGCGGGTACCTGAATTTGACAGGTACCCGCTCTTACTTCCGCAGAGTTTTTGTTTGATCTTACCTGTTCCTCGATCCAGCGGCGCGCTGTCTTCCCGGCTTCTGTAATGGCGCTCGGCATGACAGCCGGGTGCCCAGTGCGCATGAGCGAGAAGCACTTGCGCTTTGTGATTGGTCCGGCGGTTTCTGGGATCTGTCATGTGTCCCAGGTACCGCCTTACCATTCACAAAAAGCACCGCTTCTTGCGCATGCGCACTTGGCACCCGGCTGTCATGCTCAGTGCCCACACTACAGAAGCCGGGAAGACAGCACGCCGCTGGATAGAGGAACAGGTAAGGTCCCGCTGCAGAGCTGAGCGGCCGGCCCAGTATTCTGACACGGCCGCGGTGGAAATACCGGACCGGCCGCTCCATATTCGCTCTATAAGACGCACTGATATTTCCCCCCCAGTTTTGGGGAAGAAAAAGTGCGTCTTATACGGCGAAAAATACGGTATTTTGGCCTAAAATATAATAAATATTGGTGTGGTGCTGGATGGTGCTATCATCCCCAAAATGTATAATCTTGGAAACAACCCTCTTTAATTGGGACTTTAAAGGCACAGATAGACATAGATTGCAAAAATTTTAAAATACATTTTATTGTACAAAATTGGTTAAAAACCACCAAGCAAAGAGATCCAATAGAGATCCAAATGGGTTTAACCTCCCTGGCGGTATGATTATTTCAGATTTTTGGTGCTGAAAGCGGTACCATTTTTTTGCATGGAAATATGTATTTTTTTTATTGTAGGCCTGTAATTTTTAGGAAAAACTCACTGAAATCTGTCCGAACAAGAGTCTAGTAAACATCCCGGGTATGATAAAATTTGAAACACAAAATCATAAATTATAATTTAATAAATAATCATAAAAATAATATAAATATAATAAAAAATTTAATTCAATAATATAATCAAACCAAAAACACTGAAATGTGAAATAGAGCGCCAAGTTCGCACATTGCTGAGCTCAGTCGCAAAATCGTTTTCAGTTTCTGATGACGAATTTCCCCCCACGAATCATTATCACTCAATTCTGCAAGTGGTTCTAATTTACTATCACTGTTCTCTAGCTGATCTAAACCGCTTTTGACCTAAAGGGACACTTTTTGGACGCCATGGACATTTCTCAGTTTCCAGGCAGAAAGAACAGACAAAATGCAGGCAGGGCACAGGACAAAGCACTAGGGACAATATGTATGTGAAATAGGTTGAAACAGCAATGTTTTTTTACTGTGTAAAATGAAAAAAAAAAAAATGACATTTTTTAAAATTTTTTAAATTTCCCGCCGGTGCCCGTACGTCCCGACGTCACAGGGACAGGACACAGAAGCCGGATGCCGGCATCGGCCGGAGGAGATGGCCGGGGACGCTGCAGGGGACACATCGTGGGAGCGCAGGGTAAGGTAAGTGAAGAACACATGCCGGAGCAGTGCCGCATGGTATTCCCGAGTGTAGCTCGGGGTTACCGCTTTTGGTACTGAAATATTACCCCGAGCTACACTTGGGAATACCGCCAGGGAGGTTAAAGTGCCTGTACATTTTTTTTTCAAAATTTTCAGTATTTTTAGTTTGTTTAGCAAAAAATAAAAAAAAACCCAGTGGTGATTAAATTACCACCAAAGGAAAACTCTATTGCTCTCAAAAAAAGATAAAAATTGTGTTTGGGTACAGTGTTGCATGACCGCGCGATTGTCATTCAAAGTGTAATAGCACTGAAAGCTGAAAATTGGCCTGGACAGGAAGGGGGTAGGCAAGTAGTTAAATAGGGGCCAGCTAGGTTACATGTAATTTATTATCCATGCATTGCATCTGGAGGTCTGCTGGGGCTGTAAATGTTCATTGTAGTAGTCTGTGCTACATATACAGTAGTTGGGTGCAGCTGGAGCAACTTGCTGTTTGTACACTGAACACAAGGAGTGTCTCGCTCTGTACCCCCATATATATAACTGCACCCCCAACATTCAGCAAATGTCTTTTTTTCAATGAATACACAGAGTTCTCTAATTGGATGAGGCGGAGAGGATGGGTTGATGATATCCCGTTTTCCACCTCATCCAATCAGAGAACATCTTGTATTCATTTAAGAGTAAGTGACTCGCTTAGATGCATTTATTAAAGGGAAACAGACTGTGCACTTTGAAAAGTGCAGTTGCACTCCTTTTCCCCTGAGCTTAGTGCACTCTGTAAAGAAAACCCAATCGTGTACAAGGAAAATAAAAAAAAAACAGCATTTTTGCTTGCACATAATTAGATAATGGAAATCAGCACAGCTTTACCATATTCATTAAGCTCTGGGGAAAATTGGTGCAAGGACACTTCCAAAGTGCATAGTCTAATTGCCTTTAGTAAATCCAACCGGCTGTGTGCAGTACACAGACAGCAAGTAGATCTGGTAGCACCAGAATAGGATAGCACTGACTGTATTCAGCACAGAGTACTACAGTGAACATTTTCACACCAAGAGGCCCTGTGAATGTGACACATGGATAATTGTAACCAAGCTGGCCCCATGTAAGTTCAGTTTCCGGTCCTGTTTAGATGGGACCTGGAACTCATACTGCAATTTAGGCTGTGTCTGTGCAGCCTTTGGGGTTGATTTACTAAAACTGGAGAATGAAAAATTGTTTTCAGATCTGCATAGAGACAAATCAGCTTCCAGCTTTTTTTTTGGTCAAAGCTTGAACAAGCAGAAGTTAGAAGCTGATTGGCTACCATGCACAGTTGCACCAGATTTTGCACTCTCCAGTTTTAGTAAATCAACCTCATTGTGTCTGCATCCACTTTCATAAACTGTCTGCAAGCAGCTGGTGGCAGATGTAGATACTAAAACAAGTGCCTCCTGCACGCAGTATACAGTGAAAGAAATAAGTATTTGATCCCCTGCTGATTTTGAATGTTTGCCCACTCACAAAGAAATGATCAGTCTAAACATCGAATGGTAGGTGTATTGTAACACTGAGAGACAGAATAGCAACAAAAAATTCATAATAAATGCATGTCTAACAAATGATGCACTGATTTGCATGTTCATGAGGGAAATAAGTATTTGATCCCATATCATTCAGCAGGATTTCTGGCTACCAGGTGTCTTTCATACAGGTAACAAGCTGAGATTAGAAGCAGTCTCTTAAAGAGAGTGCTGCTAATCTCATTTAGTTACCTGTATAAAAGACACCAGTCCACAGGAGCAATCAAACAATCAGATTCCAAACTCTCCACCATGGCAAAGACCAAAGAGCAGGGGATCAAATGCTTATTTCCTTCACTGTAGGTGCCAGAACCTGTCTGAACGAGACCTTAAAGAAATCCGAGTACACAGGAAGGCTAGGTTCACACCTATACAGTTTGCATTTGATCTCTGTCTGCAGTGCTTTTTGCAGTGTGTTTTTGACACGTTTAGCGTTTTTTTTTTTTTTTTTTGGCCAACTTGTTGCTGGGCAGATTAAAAATGGAAAACGCATAAAAATGCACCAAAAGTGTACATGAAACACAGCGTTTTATTGTGGTTCCATTGAAGTCTATTGGGCTAACAACACAAACTGCTGCGGGAAAAGAAGTCTCTGACCCTTTCCAAAAAAAACACGCCTGCAAAAAATGCATAGATGTGAACGTAATCCGTAGGAAATAATGATAATTGGCATGCACTGCATTTCTGAAACACAGAAAAAAAAAAGCACAGGTGTGAACCTGGCTAATAAAGGTTCATATTTTAATGTACTGTATTTAGAAAACAAAGCCTTTTTATACAGATTGATAGTGAATCACGCTGCGGAACACTACCAACTTCCACTTTCGTTGGCTCAAAGCAGACAAGGGTAAATAATACATGTTTTGTTAACAGAACATTTTTAAAAAAATCCCCCAAAACACAACATTTACTTACCTAATTTTCCAGAAAGCTGCTGCTCCAAATATTATTAATACAAGACCAATGACAACTATCGTAATTGCTGCCACACTTCCTGTAGAAAAAAAAAAGAAATGAAAACTTAAACTATAATAGTTACTGTAATTATGTATTGAAAAATATTTTGCAATATAGTCAAAATATCCAAAGAGCACCACGATTTACTAAACTAGTAGCCTTATTCATGGAGACAAAGTGTTATGTGCAGTAATTCATAGCAGCCAATCAGAAATCATCTATGGAGTAGGTGGGTTAATAAACAGGAAAAAAAAAGATATGTATGCTATAAGGATATGTATGAGAGGATGAGACACTGTACTTCTCTTCTTCTCTGCTCCTCATACTCTAACTCTATATTAAAGTGTTACTAAACCCACAACAGTAAAATCAGTCTGTATATGTAGTAAAACATGCTTGTTATACTCGCTGTGGAACCTAAGGATGTAAAAAGGCTGTTTGATCCTGTCTTCCCTGATCCCCCCCCTTTCTTCCACAGTCCCCAATCCATCTGCTGATAATACAGAGCTCTAGGAGTCACTCTGTACATGCTCAGTTTAGTGTATACTGCTAGAGAGAATACTGCTTTTTTTCTTTGGGAGGGTGCATCTGGTCAGTACTGGGCCAATCAGCACCATCTGGACAGAGAGTCAGGGGTTATGCAGCCTCATAGGACAGGCAAATGAGAATGAAAACTCCTCCTCCAAGCTTTAACCAATGCTCAGCTGGACACTGATAGAAGCCACAAAACTGCTCTAACTGCTGATGAGAAAAGGTATTTAGCAGTTTATATATACTAAAATTAATGCATTTCTATTTTCTGTGGTTTAGTAACACTTTAAACTGTATCTACTGATCTGAAACTTCCCCTTATGCTGCTCTAGAACTGGCCAGAAACAAGAATGAATACTGACAGGGGAATTACACTATAAAACACTGATCTTTAATTAGAACTTGTTACAAAACTTCCGAACTCACCATGTGATGTAAAAGTTGAAGTAATATTAAAGGCTCGTGGTTTTTTTTCAAATAACAAACATGTCATACCTGCTCTGTGCAAAGGTTTTGCACAGAGCAGCCCTGATCCTCTTCTTCTCGGGTCCCCCGCAGGCGCTCCTGACTCCTCCCCCTTGACCAGTGCCCCCAATAACAAGCCGCTTGCTATGGGGACACTGGTGCATGTTCGCTCCCAAGCCCCACTCTATATGTCAATAATTCACATAGAGCTGTGACTCGGCCCCACCCGTGGTTCTCTCCTTATTGTCTCACTGGCTGTCTCATCCAATGAGTAGAGAAAGAACCAGGACAATGAGGCTCCTGTACACATCGCTGGATCAAGATGGGGCTCAGGTGAGTATTGGGGGGGCTGTGAGGGGAGCAGCACACAGAGGGGTTTTTACCTTCATACAAAAAATGCACCACAACGCACCAGTGCCAAGGGGAGGAGTCAGGAGCGCCAGAGGGGGACTCGAGAAAAAAGGATCAGGGCTGCTCTGTGCAAAAGCACTGCACAGAGCAGATAAGTATGACATGTTTGCAATTTAAAAAACAAAACAAAAACAAAACAAAGTTTTAATATCACTTTAAATTTTAATATTTCTGCTGACCTTTTAATATTGCTAATTTATACACTGCTCAAAATAATTAAAGAATAAAAGAGTATAGCATCAAGTCCATTAAACTCCTGGGATATTGATCTGGTCAGTTAAGTAACAGAGGGGGTTGGTAATCAGTTTCAGCTGCTTTGGTGTTAATGAAATTAACAGGTGCACTAATTGGTCAACAATAAGACGACCCCCAAAACAGGAATGGTTTTACAGGTGAAGGCCACTGACATTTTTTTCCCTACTCATCTTTTCTGACTGTTTTTCACCAGTTTTGCATTTGGCTAGAGTCAGTGTCACTACTGGTAGCATGAGGCGATACCTGGAACCTACAGAGGTTGCACAAGCAGTCCCTACAAAATGACCTCCAGCAGGCCACTGGTGTGAATGTCTCTGACCAAACAATCAGAAACAGACTTAATGAGGGTGGCCTGAGGGCCCGATGTCCTCTAGTGAGCCCTGTGTTCACAGCCCGACACCATAGAGCTCAACTGGCATTTGCCATTGAACACCAGAATTGTCAGGTCTGCCACTGGAGCCCTGTGCTTTTCACAGATGAGAGCAGATTCACCCTGAACACATGTGACAGATGTGAAAGGGTCTGGAGAAGCCGTGGAAAACGTTATGCTGCCTGTAACATCATTCAGCATGACCGTTTTGGTGGTGGGTCAGTGATGGTCTGGGGAGGCATATCCATGGAGGGACACACAGACAATGGCACCCTGACTGCCATTAGGCATTGAGATGAAATCCTTGGACCCATTGTCAGACCCTACGCTGGTGCCGTGGGTCCTGGGTTCCTCCTGGTGCACGATAATGCCTGGCCTCATGTAGCGAGAGTATATAGGCAGTTCCTGGAGGATAAAGGAATTGATACCATTGAATGGCCACCACGCTTGCCTGACCTAAATCCAATAGAACACCTCTGGGATATCATGTTTCGGTCCATCCAACGCTGCCAGGTTGCATCTCAGACTGTTCAGGAACTCAGTGATGCCCTGGGCAAGATCTGGGATGAAATACCCCAGGACACCATCCTACATCTCTTTAGGAGCATGCCCCGAGATTGTCAGGCATGCATACAAGCATGTGGGGGCCATACATACAACTACTAAAGACCATTTTGAGTTGCTGCAATGAAATTTTAGTAAAATGGACTAGCCTGCTGCATAATTTTTTCACTTTGATTTTCAGGGTGTCTTTGAATTTAGTCCTCTGTATGTTGATAATTTTCATTTCCATCAAACAATGGTGCATCCTTATGTTCCTAACACATTACCCAGTCCATATCAGTATAGATATCCAGCATGAGATTTTTCCCCATTGAGATCTGATGTGTTTTCAAAGTGTTCCTTTAATTTTTTTGAGCAGTGTATATGTCATATTCTTAAATTGGGTGCCTTTTAAATTATGGTCAGCCTTGGTACACTTATCAGTGATACATGACACATCTTGGTAACGGCCATGTTAACTTAATGACATGTCTTCCTGAAAGATTAAATTGGCAGCCACTCCCTAAATTTTTTTCTCTTACTGATATACATGGTCACTGTGTCATATAAGACAGGATATGAACACACAATTAACCACGCTTGCAGCAAAAACAGTACAAAGTACAGAATGCTTATTAATCCTTGCTTCCAATGCAAGCTTAGTGGGAAGAGCCATGCAAATCAATCTGTGGCTAACTGTACATCTAAAATTGTCCATACCACAGATAAAGTCTAGTGGTTCTGGATGTATGCTAAACCACATGGACATACAGGATTAAACTGCATGGCTCCAACTACTCTGCAAAAAGGTAAATTCCAGGTAAGTGGTTTTCCCATGGTTACCATGGTCCAGACTGGTGCATATCCCATAGCTGGGTATTTTTTTCTGGATCTGTGTTGATGATGACATAGAAATGCCTTGTGTTTCATGAAGGCATTTTGTATGTTTGCAGTACTTCTAAAGAAGAGCTATAACCTTGACCATTAAAAAGCAAAAAGTAAATATCAAAGCAAAATTACTGGTATTAACCATAGCCAAAAACAAAACTAAAATTTCTTCTCTAACCCAACAGAACTAGGGAATGATAGCTGGACCAAATTAACCTTTATAATATTTAACCTTCTTCAACGAAAAGGAAAGTTTCTTCTCTGCTAGGGTGTCTAGATGTCCCTGGTTTCAGGGGACAGTCCCTGATTTTAGGGTCTGTCCCTGGAAAAAAGTGTCCCCCAAGTCTACTACTTTAGAAAACGGTGCGGCTCCGACCAAGTCAGAACCGCACCGATTTGACCGCCGTAGTCGCATGGCATATTGTTTTTTTTCCCAAAACTGTCAGCCTTTTTTTGCTTCTAGCTCAAAAAAATTAAAAAACACAGTGGTGATCAAATACCAGCAAAAAAAGCTCTATTTGTGGTAAACAAAATGATAATAATTTAATTTATGTGCAGCGTTGCATGAAGTAACGCAGTGCCGTATCGCAAAAAAATGGAGTGGTCAGGAAAGGGGGTAAATCTTCCGGAGGTCATGTTGTTAAACTATACCCCCTACGCCCTCCTACTCCCAATATTTGGTGTCGCGTGATTCGAGTGCTTCTATTATCCCCGTCCTCTACTCCACCCCCACAATACACATGCACATGGTCAGTAAGGTGTCCCCAGATTTAATTTAAAAAATTTGGCCACCTTAATCTGTTTTTTAATTGTGACAGGGGACTGAATTACCTTGCCTCCATTGCCAGGCTCTGCCAAACCATGGGATACATTCTAGTCTTTCCAGTTCCAGTATAAAATGGGTGAGTGGTGGATTGAAAAGAAGGACAGTACTGTTCTTGTAGAGACCAGTATGAGCAACGTACATTGGAAAGGCTGGGCCCCAGACAACACAACCAGCTGCCCCTGTTCTGCCAGTAGTGTGAGCGCTGTTACTGATGTCTGGGTGACTGGCCGACTGATAACATGACCTTATTTGCTTCCCATTTGTCATCCGTCTGCCTTTGTAGCGGCACACTACATTAGTCACTTCATATTTCTTCATAAAGACTTTTAATAACCACATCCCTTATCTGGAGACACAGTCAGTATCAAGGGTAGTTCAATTAGATGAGTTCTATAATTCTATGAAAAATCGACAATGCAAGAAATATGGTATAGAACATGCACTCAGATCATTTAAAGTGTATTTTTATCAGAACTTCTTTTTTTTTTTTTCTTTTTAGTTTTAGATAGAATGGGGAAGGGATAGAACCCCTGTCAGGCGTTACTGCTATCTGGGGTTCCGTTATTAAAATCGTCTCTTACTTTCTCTATAGCAGGGGAACAGACAACAATAAAAAGCTGACAAAGGTTCTAGCAATCCCTACATAGCTTAAAAATTGCATTTTGACTTCTGTCACTGTGTTGCTGTTAGAGAAATTTCCCCTCACTTTCTGTTTTGGGGATAATATTTTTCCTAGACAGGAAGTGAA